TGCACCTTCAGGTGCCTTAGATGGTCTCGAACCTGATCTTCTCCCACAGTGGGCGGCTCTTCATTCTCCCAGTCCCTGCCTTTGCCTTCTGCGGCTGGGGTGGTGAGGCTTGAGCGCTTGCCGGTGAAGACCGAGGCAAAAAAGTCATTGAGTACCTTCGCCTTCTCCATGTCCCAGGTAACCAGGTCTCCCGTTTTGTTCCGGAGAGGGCCCACACCTTCCCTTGTCTTCCTTTTATCCCCGACATACCTACAGAACCTTTTCTTGTTGCCCTTGATGTCCCTGGACAGATCGAATTCTATCAGGGCTTTAGCCTGAACGTTTCACGTGCACTGGAAATAATATTGTACCCCAGGGGGGTGGTGGGGGAAATGTGGCAGAAGTTGCTCTTACAGCTTGAATTAAATTCTGACTCTTCAGAGATTTCCTTTAAAATATGTTTGAACTGAATTAATGAGAAAATAATATGGTTGGAGAAATCAATTACAACCATTATTTCACCTCCAAAAGAATAATGCATTTTCTTACCTCCATAAAAGTGATGATTGCTGCAGGCCTGGTCCTCAGTTGGATGGCCAGCCTTTAAGGACTGTTGCAATACAGGGAAACTTTCGGATTCAACCCCCTGGGGAAGACAAGTGCTGTCACTTTTTTATTGATCCAGTTATAACAGAAGTCACCACCAAAGTGGACACTAAAAAAACTATACAAAGTTTCTTCTTCAAATTAACAGTTCAAATTTCAAATTGCATAATAACCGTGCTATCACTAAACTTATCCTGTGGCTTATTTAGGGCCAAACTTCTCCCGTAAGAAATTATTTCAAAACACAGAATGGATTTCTTTTGCTTTGGAAGAGTCTTCCCACATTTTTTCTTAAATCCAGCCAAGCAGCCAAGGGACAGGAGGCTTCCCAGGCTCTCGGAGACTCTTCTCCTAGGTGAAGCCCACGGGATCAGATAGTCCCTGTCCCCAGCATATGCAGCCTCTGCCACTGTATCACTAGATACCGGTGCAGCGTTATCACTAGATACCAGTGCCTTTTGAAAACAGCTGTGGCAAAAGCTGTCAAAATGCAACGCTATAGGTGAAAGGAAACTTACAATTACAGAAATATGTGGGTTGAGGTGTTTGAGTGCAGCAGCCGACCCTGCCAGCAAGCCACAGTGGCCTCCTGCAGGGAAAATCACTGCATCCAGCTTTGGCACCTGCTCGTACACCTCCAGCCCCACGGTCCCCAGGCCCGACAGGTAGAGAGCACTATCCTCCCTGCGGGAAGGAAGGGCAGAGCTCAGCAGCGTTCACAGTTGTCAATGCGATAAAAGTTCCATCTACTACTTTAAAGACATTAGTCAGCAGAAAAAAAAAGATACACGTGAGAGTACATCACCAGCACAGCGAGGGGAGGAGGCGAAAGAACAGGACACTGCCATCAGACCGACCATTGCGTGCTGTTACCTACTGGGAGGAAACCTGCGCCCTTGACAAACCCCTCAAATCGCCTTCAGGCTGCAGAGCTGTTGTTGATTTGAAGCTGTTGCTACCAGTATCAGGTGCTTACAGGGCTGGTGAGACAGAAGTCAGGTTTCCATTGCCATCGCTTCCTTCAGCTTCATAAATTTTAAATGTTGCCGTCCAAACGAAAAGCAAAGTCTCAAAAGGAAATGTCCTTCTCTTTATTTATAAGTGGAATGTAGCGTTTGTGATAAATGGGAATTTTCATGAAATTTAAGCACTGCGTTCAACCTCACAAATACCAAACAGATTGCTACAGAGTTAAGTCTTTCCACAATCCAGGGCCTGTATCTGACACCTTCGCATTACTCTGGAAGGGTAAGGGAAACGTTTAGTCGTGCCAAAATACTCACTGGTAAAACACTTTCAGGCAAAGGTGATTTAATGAGCAGAGTAGGGACAAACAGAGTCAAAAGACTGAGGAAAAGTCCACTGCACAGTCACACAATTGACTTGGATCTATTTCTAAAAGCTGTTTGGCGTTTTAGTGAAAAGTTAGTAATGATGTAAGTGTAGAATGATATATGAACAAAAAAAAAAAAAAAGAGACCTCTGTATGCCTGTATGTTCTGCTGCTTCTGGCAAACGGATAAGCAAACAGAATTATAGATCCAATGACTTCACTTGATTTACTTGACCCAGGAGGTTCGGGTACTAGGAAGCTTTTATTACCGTTAGACATGCACAGAGAGGCTCAGCACAGGCGCAGAGAACGCCCGCAAGGCGGACCAAGGCCCTCTTGAGAAGTTACCTCACATATATAGCAAAAACACAGCAAATTCTTCAGGGCGAGAGTCTATCTAGCTACACAAGAAAGGATGGGATGAATGAACTTTCACTCCTGCAGCACAGCTAAAGACGAAGGCAAGAAATCACGGTGGGACGGGTAACTGAACCCTTGAATTTATTGTCTTTACCAAGATACTGAAGGAGCTCTCTCCCCCTTCTTATATGTGACAAAATATACCACTGCTCTCCTGAACAATTCTTCTGGAGCCTTATTTGCAAAAAAGATTTATAACTGAGTTTGCGGAGTTACCCCTGCCATGGTTACGCGGGAAACCATGGGGACCTGCAAAAATGAACGAGGACCTGGGATATTCAATTTACGAGTAAAACTTCTCTAACAACTGAAAATTCTGTCTGAAGGAGGCTGCTCTGGGCATGGAGATTTATTAGCAGTTTGAATGGATGTTTCAGATAATCATGTTTTCCTTGCTAACATCTAGTTAGAACACCAGTTCACTGATCGGCCTTCAGCTTTTTATAATAAAATGTGTTATTTTACTTGCACTGTGACTGATTACTTTTGCTTTGTGAAAGCAAACATCTCTCTCTCAGTATCGTATGCCATTAAAGGAAAATCAAGGAAAAGGGCAGATAAATCTAAAGACTGTAGATTTAAACAAGCATTTTTGAGTCAGAGCTAGAAATTTGGCCATTTGCCTTCTGAAATGTGCGATACGTCAGCAATCAGAGACGGGCTGTCAGGCTTCAGTTTCCCAATGAAATCTTGACGTGGCAGCTAGCACGTTCCCCTGTTCTCCAAATAAAGGGCTCGAAAGCTATCGGCTGTCCTTCCTAGAGTAACAGACTAACCAGAACACAAATGAACGAGGATTAGGTCTGATTCAGTATTCGGATATGGAATTACGCAAGAAAAAACTGGACTCTCAAGGAAGGAAGGTGTGTAATTCAATCTGTAGCACTCTTACCTCTCTGATTCACAAATCCGTCTTTCTCACATCGCCCCAGAGGTACTGTGTTACTTATTGGCAATATTCACATTGCATTTAGAATGAGGTCCTGAACACCTATAGTTATTGAAAATCCCATGTTACCTAAGCAGCAATTAGGTAGACTTAATGATTGAATTCCAACTTGAAAAATCACATTTCCTTCCTGGAATGTCACAGGAAGTTGCAGCTGGATAAAAAGTTTCCTTCCTCTAATTGAGTTCTTGCATGATCGTTTTCATAACACAGTGTTTTAATTGCTCTCAAGAAATGGGAAGAACTGACATTGACACACCCAACTACAGGCCATTACCCGTGCAGGTAAAGCCAAAGACAGTCACGTCATGCCTACTGCAGGAAGGAAAGAATGAATTGTTGGTTAAGGAGGATCCAGAGACCAAATTGCTAGGGATTTTATGCAAGCTAGAATTAAACTGAAATAAAATGACATTTCAGAAGTTCTGTGCTAAAGCACAGGAGATCGGCTGATGTTTTACAGACAGCTTTGGCAAGTGACAATGAATGTGCGTCAGACACACGTTGAAGACGACTGGCTATCCGTACATGCATACAACCCTCTGGGAAAGCTCTCCCAGTCTACACCTAACAAAAGAGGTTTCAGGCATCCCATTATGAAAAGGCTCACAACTGTAGTGGGGCTTTTTTTTCTTTTTTTTTTTTTTTCCCTCCAGTGTGTGAAAAATTGCATCTGCGAGGTTTTAATTACACATAGTAACAGATTAATAACTCCGTTTCTTGTAACCCAAAATACCTCTTACTTGTAACGTGAAACCTGAAATAAATCAGAGTGCTTTGATATTATTAATGGTGACGTGTACATTTAGAGTTCCTCGATGCTAGATGCTGAAGTCCTTCACGTGCGTTGTCCCTGGAGCTTCATGAGCCTGGAGAATATCTACCTTATATAACATAAATAATAATTTGGGGAGGAGGGGAAGATTAAGCATGAAATTACAATAAAATAATTTAGTTCTTACGTGCAAACGTGATAGCTGATGCAAGCCAGCCGGGAGTTAACACATCGATTGAAAAATGGCTGACAGAAATTCGGAAATCACAAAGTTATGGAAAGCTGTGGTTTTCAAAGAGAGCCTAAATGGGTTCAAAATTCGGTGGGATCTAGGGCACCCCATTCCCTTGGGTTTCTTTGAAAGTCTCAGTCTGGGACAAGGTCGTGCCCGTGGTGGCACACAAGGCACGCCAACTGGCCCTGTGGGTCACTTGCTGTCGGCAGGGCTAACATGCAGTTGAAGAGTACAGTTTTTAATATCATCTTCCCAATAAACCAACTGGGAAAGAAGTGAGGACTTTCTCCATTCCGCTCATTCTGGGATCCTCTTTCCAAGCAACCTTACTCATTATTGCTATGTTTAATGCAGTAGCGTCTAGGAGCTGAAGGGGAACGGGCACTCACTGCCGTAGGTGCCGTACAAACAGAAAGTGGTAGATAAAGTCTGCACAGAGGAGATGATGGGGAGGGAGAATAACATTCCAGCTGAGTGCATCAGAGGGAGGGCCGGCTACCTCGTGCTAATGATTCACACCCCCCGCGCTTTTGGAAATCTTACTTGAAAAAAAGTAGGAAAAGGAAAAAGAAAAGGGAAGGGAAGGGAAAGGCAGAAGAGACTGCAGAGAGAAAAGGAAAAAAGGGAAAATGGATCAGTTCTAAATATTTCTGCCTCTCTTATCTTATTCTAATCACGTTTTTATTAGATCCGGCTTGTTCAATGACCTCAAATAGTTCAAACTTAAGGTCATACTCAACCTTAGCTACTTTGAATATATATATGTGTGAAGTAGCCTCTTAATCGTCTTTTTTCAAGGCAGAATCACAGTTTTGTCACACCAGATATGCAAAAATTTTACAGCATTAACCTTCTCTTGCTCTACACTATGCCACTGAACCCTTTGCATTAAAGGTTAGCTTTTACCCACCTTACTCCAGAGAGACCAAGAATGAACGCTAGCCTTAATGCTTTCTGACAGGGTTCCTAAAGAGTTAACATGCATCCATTATCACACTAGCCCATATAATTTCTAATCAGGAAGTTTGCCTAACTTGGGGGAAGAGATTTTGGTTTCCATCCCCAGCTGGTATAGAAAGATTCATGACTTGTGCCTGGGAATACGTAACTGTCCATACTCCAGGTAATGGGAATATTTTGATGACCCGTGATCAAATTTTAGTGAAACGAATTGTTTTTGCAGAGCTGCACAAGTATCTAATCAAATCTTTCTAATCAGCCTGACTTTCCACTTACTCTTCGAGGTAGAGGTAACCATTCTCCTGCGCCAACCTTCTTGCGTGCGTCTGGGAATCCTTAGCTGTAGTGCCGTAGGATATAACCATGGCACCATACTCACGGCACATTTTCACTCTGGCCGGGGGTGTGCTGGTTGACATGATGACAAACACTGGAATACGGAGCTCTGAGGCGTGGTAAGCAACAGCCATGGAAAAGTTACTGTCCAGAGCCACGATCACCCCCTTTCTTTGCTGATCCTAAAAAACAGGGTTGCTTATTGCACATTGTACAGTGTCACAAAGTTGTCCCATATGATCCCGGATCATTCTAATGGTCTGACTTCCTTCTTTTCCTCTACTACATAATATTACATAATATCATGATATTACGATACAGCATATGCTTGTCTGGTGTGATCTCGGGACTTACACACAGAGCTAGGACAGCACAAGATCAATCCCCGTTCCTGCACTCCACTGGGTTTGATTCTTGTTCCATTGGAATTAGCTGCAAAACTCCGGCTGATCCCAGAAGAGCCGATATCTGGCCCCTCAGAGCCGATACCTGGTCCCTCTTCCCTGCCCGTGTGAAATTATTTCATTTCAGGTTTACCTTTAATAGAAGGTTTTATTCGTATTATTACAAAAGTGCAGGAATAACCACTGTGTCTGGGCTGCTGTATCATGCCAATTATAATTATTATTGCTGCAGAGACTCAATAGCCTCCTACGACAAATGATAAACAAGCTATTAATGTAATGATACTGAAATTCATTACAAAACCAATTGGTGATCTAGATCCTTCTCATCACCCATTGTAACTCAATTTCATCACCACTTAAAGTTTGGTGGTTTCAACATGTCAGAACCATAGTACGCATACAAACACTTCCATCTGAACGCCACACAAAAACGCTGATGTTTACATTTCGCAAGCTTTTCTTTCAAATCTTTTTAAGCATTTCACCAGCAGATCTGCCAAGCGCAAATAAAGTAGTAAAGTATTTTACATTCAGATACTTGCAGACCTATCTGTGCTGTACAGCACAATGGCTCAAAAGGCAAGAAACACTGCGATTCCACGGACAGTACGGGTAAAATTAGCTTTATTTCTGCTCTGTTTTTGTGAAGCAGAACTAATCCATTTCTTTTTGAACTTTGACATTTTGTTATACCTGAGGCAATGATGTCAGAAGGTAAAGTACACCTCGTTCCTTCACAGATCCCGTGTACTGGAGGAACTCTTTCTTTAGGTAGATGTCCATTCCATACTGCTTGGATAGCCTAGAATACTGGAGTACAGAAATGTTATTAAGGGGATGTATCTAAAATTAAGGAAAATCTTCCACACCCCATCAGCTCCCTGGTGAGGCATGCATTCAGCTGCTACACATCAGCTCTAAAAAGCAAATTTCATAATCTGTTTCTTTAGAAATACATGACAGAGTGTCATTACCTACCAGACTCTTCTGGTTTACGGAAGCCATTTTCAAACTTGCAGCAGTGAAATACGTACCCCATGCCGTTATGAATTCTGAAAATAGCATTTGTTTTGGTCTTACTGTTCAAATACAGATTTTAAAATAAGTATTTTCAATTATTTAAAAAAACACCCTGTGGTCTGATATTTTAGCACTTGCCAGAACTGGATCTTGAATACCCAAAAAATAAGGTCATCTCCTGATAGATACAAAAGCAGCTAGAAAATTCCTCCTTGAGTCCCATTATGACTCTGCTACGGTTTCTGCAACCGATTCACTACTGAATGTTGTCCATTTTGCACCCTAAGGCCAGTACGACATTAGTAAAGACATTTCTCATTTGAAGAATGATGGAAATAATAGAAGTATTTCCCAGGACTGCAAGTGTAAGCAGGAGCTGTTTGCAAATGCTCAGTGTGTGGAACAGAAAGGATCCCTGAGCTGAGAGGAATTAGCAAGCGTAGTACGTGCGATGCAGTGTCCAAGTGCAAGATGTTTTAATTATTGTTTTTAATGGCAAACCTTTATCAATTTTTATAGTAAGACACAGCACGCATCGCCATATTAATTTCCTATTACCATATTATCTGAAGCAAGAATTTTAAAGAAGATAACTTGTGAAATAGAGCTGCAGTAAGCCTGTGGGTTCCAGTTCCCGAGGCTTACTGCAGCTCTATGTCGTAACTGGCTCTCTCTTCCATTGGCTGCCAAAGTAAATGAGGACCTGGGGATTCAGAGGATCAAGCCCTCATTTATGGTAAGTCACAAAGAGAGAGAGATTAAAAGACAGCATGACAATGTATTTTAAATATTTATCTCAAAGAGTATCTGGCAGTGTCATGCATATGGTGTATAACGTACACAGTAATATGTACTGACATTTTTCGGACTGTGGGACTTTCAAAGTGAATTTATATAAACTGAAACAGATACTTGCTTTACGGTATACAATTAAACTAAATATTCCATATGAATGTTTCAAGGCTTTTTAGTGGGTTTACAAGCATACGTTAAGTTCCTCACCCATAGGTGGGGCCAGATTCTCTATTTTGCTTCTGAAAATCCTGCAATAGGAGCTACCGCTTGCTGCTCCTTTGCAAATCTGGCTGCAGAACTGAAAGAATGGAAAGTGCTTAGTACGCTAATAGGAGAATAGTTTCTATCCTAAACAGCCTGATCTATGGAGAATGCCTATGCAAAACAGAACAAGAGCACTAGACAAGAAACACTACTTTACTGGTTCTCCACATACCATACTAGTTTTATCATTTTTGCTTTTGCAGAGAATCTTGGATTCTAGAGTGAACAGTGAGAAGAAGGATTTGAGGAGATGAATTCTGTGACTTTTTATAAAGTTGCTAAGTCTCCGACATTTAAAAATATATGTCATTAAGGCATGCTTTACCACAGAGGGGGTGTACTTCAGACTATTATTATTATTTTTCTTTAATTTTGATACTCAATATTTTAGCTCTTTAGGTTATCCTTTTCTGCTTCCTTTAACTGGAGCTTTTTTTTCATGTAGCCTAAATACAGCAATTACTTCCAACAAAGGAGGTGTCAGTGCTATTTTCAGCTGTACTGACCTGATGCGTGACCTTGTAAGACTCATTGAACCAGCCTGTATCCCTTTTGCCACCGTGATCTTACCTGAGGACTACAGATACTGTGTCTAGGGTGCAACACACAGCACAGCCTCCGTTTGGCATCCACAAAGCTAACACAAAACAACCCCTAGAGTTCCTCCATCAGTAACCAAACCAAGTGCCCAATTTAATGCTAATTCCTTGTTTTCCTGTACTCACTACCTCTATAACATCTGTCACAATTATTCATGATGCCATAGCTCAGCTCCAGGCAAACTCCTGCATAAGGATCCAGGACGCTCCATCCATGGTCTTACCTGCAGATTAGGAACCACCCTGCAAAGTGTTTCTCCAGTCAATTAACTGAATGGCTTATAGTCACCCTCACTTTTTTTAATCCAAACCAATGCCCCTGAAAGGGGCTCTTACCTCTCAGCGACGAGTTAAAATAAAGGTTACCTGTGTTTTTCTTGACACCACTCTGTGCTTTCAATACTTTCCTTTTGAATCAGTGCATGAAACATATACTGATGACTTCTGTGGGAACATTACTTTGAACAGCAACAGTCATGGGCTATTTTCACACTAAAACAAGTAGGGATATAGGTTTTCCACTCTTCTGATCATCCCAAAAGCATAGTTCATAAAAAGAGACTAAAGAAAGTTAGCCTGCTTAGCTTGGCGCAGTAAATGCAGAAAGGGGATACAACCACGTTGCATAAATCTGCCGGGGACACCCCAGAGAAAAGAACTATTTAAGTTGAGGGGCAAAGCTGCCTGAGAGCAAACGGTGTGAATTGGCCAAAGAGAGCTTGGCTACTTGTGAGCGGAGCACCATCGGTTTACAAGAAGTTTTGTATTACACGGATGCCTGCGGGAGCAGAAGAGGGACTCGGTGGTGCAGCCTCGCCTTTCCTTGCACTAGGATGCGTTGAGGGCAAGGACGTGGCTCAGGGGATGGGGCTGAGAGAGACTTTACAAGTTTGGCAGAAGCGCGCGACGCCGTGAGCCGCAGGGAAGGGACGATCCTGGCTATCAAAGGGTACGGAGCTAGCTAGTTCTGCTTTCCAAATTAAGCCCTGACGCTCTCCCTCTCCCTGCCCATAGGCCTACCTTTGTACAGCAAGATTAAACCCATCTAACAAATATGACCGGAGTTGCCAATTACAGAGAAGCGCAGTGCTCACCACCTGCAATAAAAATGCAAATCTTCTCTTCCCGGGACAGTCTCTCCACAAAAGCAGAAGACTGACACTTCTGTTTAGAGCACTGACCGTGCTCTCAAGCACGACAGCCTGAGAGTTTTGGTGACAAGCGATGCAATGTGCAGACTGCGGTATGCTCCCTCTGTTCGCCCAGGCCCTGGCCCCCCGACCACCCGTTCTGCACACGCGTTTGCTCACTCCCCCTGCTGCCTTCCCGAGCTGGCCAGCTTTTCCACCCTGAAAGGAAATGCAGGTACATCTGGCAGGATGGTTTATTCCCGAGTCACTCTAAACAGGCAGTATATGAATGCACAAATGCATCCAGTTGGACTCCCTGCACTCCGGCCAACACTACCCTGCAAGTTTTTTGTGCCACCTTACAGCCCCAAATGGTCTTGTACCATGCCCTTTGTCATGAGACACACTTCTTCAGTAGCATGCTACAAAAAACACAGCTATCCTTATTTTGGGAACTCTAAGCTAAAAAAAAAAACCCAACACTGAAAGTAATTATGATGACTCTGGATCAGCAGGCATCATCTGGGAACCAGGAGAACTGCTGCGCCTTGCAGACCCAACCACTTTGCTCCAGGGACTCTTAACCCCAAGCAGTGGCTCAGACACCAAGGTGCTCTCCCTGTGCGGGCCAGAAAGACAATCCACAGCCGGTGAGGCTGGGGGGGTGCCCCGGGTCAGCAGCAGGGAGGGACTCATCGAGGGAGCAATTTGGGGCTGCTGCTATGAATTGCCGTTTGGCAAAGACGCTCTTTTCACCCACTGCAGGGGAAAGAGGAGATTAGCCGCCGAGTGCCTACAGCAGCCTTCATGAAGAGCTCCCAACAGTAGGAATACACTACGAATCAAATAGCTTGCCACCGTACTCCTCTTACGCTTTAGCAAATGTTTGTACATTTATGGGTGTGTCTCAGTCATTGCCTACCTGGACTGATCAATAGGTGTGTATGTTTGTGTGTGTATATCTTAATGTCCTCGTTCTGTTGAAGACGCACGTGGCAGAACCACCTGGTTACAGAACATATCCAGCCTTGCCAGGTTGGCCAGGCTAGGAAGGAAATTCTGTGCCTTCAAACTCTCCAAATACGAGGGCTGGTTCCAAACCAGACCCTCCCACAAGGCTGTTTACCCAAACACTGACAGTCCGCCGTCTCCAACTCAGGTTCCCTGTAGCAAGAGTTTTTCATCAGGAGCATAATACCACAGTGCATTAAGTTTACGCCTAATGTGGTTTATCCTTTGTTTACGGGTCACTGCAATCTTTGAGGATTTAGGTTAGCGTGAACAGGTAAGAAGCAAATGCTTATTGACTGTTAACAGTAACTAATGTGAACATGAGTCATCTTACACAGATCTACCTGCTGCAACTCACACGTACTCTTCATTCATTTCTGATCAACTTTTATACAGAAAATAAAAAATGCTGAGAGAATGCAAAGCCATATAAACTCCCTACCATGCAGGGGGTTTTCTGAACACCGCACTGGATTTTGAAAGCTGCTGCACTAATATCTTCAAATCGAATCAGCTTGTTATAGCTTGACAGGCTGCTCCTACTGCTTGACTGAGGGATGCGGGGAAGGGCATCCCTAAGTAACTCCTCATTACGGCTCACTATCTTCATTTCCCAGGTCTTCACGTCCCCGTTCAGGTAATCCTCCTCACCAAAATCTTTCAGTCTCTCAGGGTTGATGGAGGGTGGCTTCTGCCCAATAAGGCCATTTCTTATCGGCCCGTCCTTACAACAGTGAAGATCACAAGGTACTGGGGCATCTTGTTTCTTTATTTTATTGTCATCCCTAAAAACAAATAAAAGAAACTTGTTAGGAAAGCTTGGATGATTAAAGGCTTGACATTTAGCATTTAAGACGGAGGCACATCTCTGTTGCTCTTTGCAAGCCTCAAATAGGCAGACCGAATTATTACTGTCGTGTCACCTTATCGCATAGGTGGATTGAAAGCTACTGTAACCAGCCAGCTTTTAGAAAAGCCACAGATAACCTGGCATGTGGACAAACTGGGAAACTGTCGTACCCAAGAAAATAAGAAAGATATAATCTGTGCTGGCCGGGCAGCCAGCCCGTCCTCAGTCTCAATCGGCAATGATCCCAGTTCAGTGCTTCCAGAAATTTTGGAATAACTGGAATTGTATTTGCTGCGTGCAACCCCGTGTTTTTCAAAAAAGGCAAATAGCTGCTGCACAGCGTTCCCTAATACTATTAATAGCAGTAACAAATGTCATTACGTTGTACACAAGAGGTCTGCTTCTCTGCTCTTGCATACTTGCAGAGCATACTCTTGACAGTCATCAGCTGCCTCCTGACGGGAAGGAAATTACTTTGATAAGGGATAACGATTATATCCTACTACAGAGCTAAAGAACTAGGTCTCCTGATCTGCGAGTTAACACTTCATAGATAAAAACACCTGTAGATAAGACGACACCGTGATGCCACACAAACCTCCTTCCCCAAGAAACTTTGGAGAGACAACACTGCTACAAAAAATTGCCAGTTTTCCTACCTTCAACCGCCTTACTCTACGGTCCACAGTGTTCAGCAGTTCACAAGGGATAATATACTGTAGTGCAGGATTTTGCAGCCCTACTAACAAATAAATGCAAAACTTCTAGGAATTCTTGGAATTTGGAGAGTAATGAGGGGAAAAAGGAGCATTACGCAGAAGACCATTGATTTGAAAAAGAGCTGATACCACCCCTAGTCTGTGGCTATGATTCCACAGATGGTATAAGCGCCTCTACACGAAGGACTCAATATTAATCTCTTTAGAAGAAAGGGTTTTCTAAAAAATATACGCGTTAAATTATGTCAGAGATTACAGCATCATCTCCAACAAAAAATATTTACCATTTGCACAAAATAACTTGGATTTAAGTTATGCAGTTATTCATCAGCAGGGCTGGCTGAAGCGAACGTTGCCCTAGTTTTACAGCAGCGATCAGCACTGTAATATGCATTGTAATCATTTCCAAAAAGAATTCAAAAATATTTAGAAACAGCTGCTTTTTGAGCAATTGCCCCACTTCTGGCAGTGTCATCCATTTTCTTTGTGGTCCCAATAATCTGTGCCAGTAGCTCTGCTTCCTATTACACTTCCAATTGTTCTGCTGAGGACTTCACATAACACTATGGGCAACATCAAAGGCTTTGTTGTTTGAATCAAGTAATATACCAGTAGCATCAATCATTCTGTATATCCTCACAGGAGACAAAAAAGGACCATTTTTGTAGCAAGGTCTTCTCTCTCCAAAACTGATGAGATCAACGCTAATTTTCTAAGGTAAATAAATGAAGTATTTACACATTTGCCACTTGTTTGTGTTGAAACTTGTGATTTAAAATATTTTCCCAACACCGTATCTTAAAGCTGATACACCCAAAGAGCAGGCATTCTGCCTTCGAATTAAATAGTTTATCAAGTAGCTCTATTTCATACTTTTCTGCATTTCTGCTCCTTTGGGGTTAGAGGCTTGGAACACTTCATAAAGATGTGCCGGTGTTAGTTCTCATGCATATTAGTTAGCTTAATGCAAAGATGTGAATCAGATCAGACTGTCTCCCCGTGAACTTCTTACAGCACAGCCCCCGGCATAAACAGCAGCTACCATCATCTAAGAGGCCACATCGCTGTTAAGAGTTCATTTCCTCCCCCCCCCCGCCCCCCCCCCCAAAATATTTCCATATCCCAGTAGCCCATAACCACTCCAAAAAGAGAAGAACAAATACATCTTATTTCTAAACATATTATCTAAAATCGCAAGCATTAGCAATGAATGATACTTCTTACACTGGCAATGGGTTAAAAGGGTCTATGCAGGGTAAAATAGATAGGCAGATCAAAAATTTGTGATTTTTCTAGGTCGAATTTTTTTTTTTACTGACTGGCATTTGAGATAGGAGATAAATTCACGCTTTTTCCTTGCATCTGTTCTGATTAACCACAAAAAGTCCATAAAAAAACCCAGCCAAAGATGACCACAGAAGTCCATTGATGAACCAGGATTCTGCTGGAAAGTACAAGCTACAGGGTAATGCCCCACCACACTAGTGCCATCAAATATATTTATCTGCAAGTAGAAAGACCAAAATGGGATACTGATTTTTGGCTCTACTCTTGAATTTCCTTTTTTTGCCAGAACAAAGGAGGGAAGTAAATCAGATTCTCAGTCCTTGATCTGCAGCTCTGCTCTGATGAACAGTGATTATATGCTCAGGACCCTGATGGAGACAACACCTTATGACCACTGGAAAAAAAAGAACAAAAGTCAAACAGCTGTAAAATACGCGTAGGCTTTTCAAGCCTGAGATAGGTTTAAAGCACATCTGAAACATTACCGTCTCAACATTTAATATGGAAACTATCATCCTTTTGCACCTGAAAGGTCAGCAGCCTCATTACCAAAGGAACATCATCATGCTATTGTATATGTATGGATTGTATATATTTATTTCAGATGAATTTTTATTCTCCTTCTACATACGTATTTTTCATTCGCATTAGCGAATGACATTTTTCCCTGTTGAACCCGCCTGGGTGTGCCACAGACCCACTGAGAGCTCTCAAACCCCCAAGGTAAACAGTGGGTTGAGGTTTGATAATCCATCACGAGCAGGCAACGAACCACCCTGTTGGGTCAGATGGATTTCTCTCCTCAGACACAGCCCGTGGGCTTGGCGCAGATCACCTCAGCATGAATTTCTTTTGCAGGAACAGTCAAAGCAGGCAGCAAAGCATGCAAGTGCTCGCAAAAAGACAGCACGTGACTTCTCATGCACAGTAACAAAATACGGCCCCCGTTCTAGCAATCGGGCCCACCAGATGAAAATCTGAGCCAATATAAATACAAACCCCAGCGTTATAAAACATTGCTCCTTTCAAATGGATCGCTTTTCCTTTTTTGGAGTTTGTCTAGGGAAGTTTTCATTAAAAAGTCTGTTTATTTCCAGCCATAAAACAAATATCCAGCTGGCAAGCTTTGTTACATGGTTATAAACTACAACATTTTACCTTTAAAGTGATTAGTAAAAGCAAACATGAAAAAACAGTTTATAAACCTACTTTTTCAAGAACAGCTGCTCAGCATAACTGCAAAAAATAAAAGAGAAGATCTGTATGCAGACATTCCATGAATAATTAAGGAACTGGAAAAAAAATCATTTGTTTAAGCAGATAGCTTTACACAGTTTAAAGTCTCAAAGGCAACGCAAAGACAGCGTGTGCCAAAATGTACTCTTAGAATGATAAAAAGCAACAACTCGGAATGAATAACTTTTCTGTTTCCAGTTTGGTCTTTTTTTAATATACTGATAATTTTCATCAAGTTAAATAGCACTGGGGAAAACAAGTTTGGAAAAATAGTAATAGTAATAAACTAAGAAATTAATAAAACCCACAAAAATAGTTTGGGGAAGATAAAATGCAGTAGTAGTGCATACTATACCTAAAGACCACAACTGTTGCCTCCGTTACGAGGAGAAAGAAATGCTCACGCAGTTATCCTGCAGTGATGGGACAATTACATGTCCCCACCAGATGAAGCACATGCAGAGACTGCCGTCCTCAGGATCCATGACATGGACTAAAGAGATTAAACTGATATACTGGATCTCTTCAGCTTCTAAAACAGGAGCAGCAAAAAAAAAATAATCTACAAAGTCACGGATGTCCAGGAAATAGCAATCTGGGCAGGACTGTTCTCTGTTTCTCCCAGTATGAATGTTAGGGGGAGATCTGAAAGTATCAGATAGAAAATTTGAAAGCTCCCTTCTTACAGAAAATCATCAGCTCGCAGAACTCATTGCCACGGATGCCATGAAGGACAGTGGTATAAGTGGGTTCCTAAAAAAATTGTGCAACTACATGGAAGTAGGTCTGATAGCAACCAAGAAACACATCATTCCAGAAGCAATCTGTGATTCTGGAAGCCCCTAAGCACTTACTTGGCAGACTCCACGAAAGCACGTGAGAGAAAGCATCTGAGGTGGCGTTTATTTTTCTCCAAGCTCCTGTTACTGGCCACCACGACAGAGAAGACACAGAGGTAGGCCGCTCTTTCGTCTGACCCACTGTTGCCATTTTGATTTGCCGACCCAGTGTCAGCATTGGGCCCATGTGGCAGCTTTTACACCTCTCACAAAACGAGTCACAACAAGGCAGAAGTGAAGTTGGAATTACGGACATACATTCCCAGGTTACTGTGCTGCTTCGCAGATAGAAATTCAAGTGTCACAAAAGGAAACAAAGACATTTTAGCGTAAGACTGAAAACTCGGCATTTCTTTGTCATTTCTACAGCAGTTTTTATCATCTGCGTTCACAATGACACACACTCACCATAAAGAGGGACTGACAGTATGGTACAAGTTCTGTAGAGTATTTTAGCATCCCTATAGGTCTACGCCATGACAAGAATTTCAAACTCCAACGCCTAACTTGGACTGATCAGTGGCATAGCGCAAACCGGCAAAGCGTAAGGCTTGAATACCACTTCAAACCATCCCACTGAGCTGGGGCTAGCCTCTAACTAACTCATCTGCACGCATACACACGTATGCCCGTGTTCTCTATATGTGGATTTTTTTATTGCATTCTTTTTTAATGTTCTGGGGGTAGGGGTTTCTTAAGCTCATATCTATATGCTGCCACCATCTTCAGGCTCCCTGAACACCTTCCTGGAGCACACCGAGCAACGGACAGCACTAAGATACAGTTTTAGACATACTTAACTGCTTTCTGGATAAACGGGCTCCGATCTTAATGCCTGCAAGTTCGGAATACTTATTACAGCAAAAAGTGACCCCTTTAAAGTCACTTCTGCCTCATTCCTCAAAGCGCTGAGCAGAGATGGGTCATGTTCTGGGGGGGTGAGGCAGGGGAGCAGCCTGCTGCAGGTAGCAGTCTGCTCGGCTTATGACTGAGCTGTGGCTAGGGCTAGGACCTCCTCTCAAAAGGAGTGAGAAAGAGGTAATCCCAGGATATGACAGAGAGGGCCCTTTCCCTCATCTAAATCCCTCTTTTACCCAGAACCTCCCCAGCTCCATTAATCCTTCTTATTCCATGTCCCCAGCCCCGTCTCCTCTGACCCTTGCGGATGCCTGAACCTTCCACGCCCCTCTGATACCTTCCCGTTGGTTGCAATCCCCTTTCCCAATAACTCCTAAATGTTCCTGTTCCGTCCCAACTCCTCTTCCACTTTCCCCCCCACCCCGAACACATCCAAATGCTGCAATAGCAGCAATTCCTAAAAGCAGCTCAGCAGCTTGTGCAAGCAGGTCTTTGTGAAAGAGAAACGACAGAAAAATTGAGGCTTGCCGAGATACGAACGGCAAGAAGCATCGTAACAGATGCCATCTTCACCGCTAGTAATTCTAGGTTCCTGCACCGTGTAGGGTCTGAGTGTCCGCCGCAGGACTACAGGGTGACAGGCAAACTCCCCCAGGCACAGGGAAGGAACACGCTAGATCTCTCTTTGACAATGCAGTTAAAACAGATCAAAGACAATACTGCACTCAAACATTACTTTCTCGAATTGTCGTTATTTTGTATAACACTGGTACTTAGAAACACCCCTTTGAGACTGTATCATTCCAACCAGGGGCAATTACAGGATGGAAATTCAAAATGCATCTCTGACATTTAGATACCCAAACCCCGCGCAAAGTGGTTGTTCCTAAATCACACAGGAATCACCAACATCTTCCCCTGAACAGAAAGGCAACTTCAGTAAATATTAGCTCAACTTTCTTGATAGAAACTGGGGCACAGACAGATCGAGTGACTTGCCTAAGACTCCCGCAGGAAGTTCGTAGCAGGGCTACTTATCAGAGTGTCTTAAAGACGACGAGATCAGGGCTTAGTTACTAGCCTGTATGACACAAACGTTAGGGGATGTATGCACCGTGACCATCCAGCATAGATAGGTGGTACATAATAACTAAGCCTTGAGATTGAGCAGGCTTTTGTAACTCCTCTCACCGCATACAGGTCTGACAAAACCGTGTGACGTTACGCCAGCAACAAACGCAAAGGAAGCTCAGGCTCATGCAGGGAACAACCAAGCTGCATTATCACTTCTGATAAAATATCTCCTTATTCCAGTAAGTCAGATTTACCAGAGCCTGAGCCTAGTACTATATCTGCCTTCTTCTGTGGTCATAATCCGTTGCCAGTCTTCCATACACACTATTGAAATGTCATTGCTTACTGCTGGCAACGGCAACTGGGTCTCAGCTGCTAAACAGATAACATGAGAAAAAGTAATCTGACAGCAGGAAGAACTCAGAAGGTCACCCCTCTTGGTTACCTCTGCCTCAACACCTTCCAAGTGTCCCACCTCAAACAGACCCATCCCCCTAAGCAGTTCTTGCAGCACTTTCACAGCTGTGAATGTCAAATCATCACTACCAAACACTGCACGCAGTTTGGCAGCTAAAACTCTTCAACTAATTAAACTTTCTTCCTCTTTACGTTAAATGTACACTGCATTTAGAGGTTCGCTGGTGATCAACATATCTCCATAATTCACTTGTAACAAAGAACGAATAGCATAACCCAGACTAGAGGGGAGAGTGGTCCTGCGGTGAAAGGACTGGTTTAAGATTCTCAGTTCGCTGCAGAACACGTCACATCATGTGCGACTTTGGGCAAGCCATTTTTTCAATGCAGAACTGGGATCTTGTCTTCCCCTTCGGTGTTCCATGAGGGTTTATTAACGGCATTGAGCCCACGGAAACAATTCGTGTTTTAAATATTACCCATATCTGCGACTATTGGCAGGATGCAGGAAATTAGAATTGCCCCTCGTTTGTACCACATCTGGCAACACCAGGTTGTGATCTTGCTAGCGGTGCCCAGACAGTAAAATTGAGGGAGGAAACAAGTACGGAAAAGGTGAAGAGCGAGGTTGTGCAAACGCAACCAATGTCGTATGGGTGCACACCCCCCCGCTGGTGCTACGCAAGGGCACTAGATGTCTCCTAAATTCCGCCTGCACCGTCCAAGCCTGAAAACAGGAATTCAAGACCACCATAAGCACCATAACAAAGACAACCGCAGAGCACCTGTAATAACAGGATCTGACACAGGCTACCCCAAGATAAATTTTCAGCAGTCCATAGGCCTGTCTAGGGTTATTTCTAATACCGTCCTCATGAGGAAATAAAAAAGCTTTTTATTTAAGCTGAACTCCACGGGCTTAAAGTATTCAAATCTCCACTGCTTCTAGTGGATGACTCCAAGAGCAACTCATACCCACAGAACCCTGGGAGGTATTGGAAAATTACAAACAGGTTGCTTTTTTTTTTTTAGAAGAAAGTAAGGAAAGGAAAAAGAAAGCATTACCTATACAGCACAGCGACTAAATAAACAACGAGGTGAAGCAAAACTCCAACTACGACACCGTAAGGAGGCAGGAAGGGTCCAGGGGTTGTCATGTCCGTGGGCCTGGCCCTGGGTGGACCCCGAGGGCTGACCATGACCCCTGAGGGGCAGAAAGGAGCGCTCTAGCTCTAACTCAGACAGCAATATTCTCCAACCTTTGCCAGAAAGGATCGTAGTCTTCTTCTTCCCTGGAGAGGTCCCTGGGACTTCTGTTTTTTAACACCCTGGAGTAGAGAAACTGTGCTGCAAAATTCATTGTAATTCCTGGTGGAAAGCAAAGCTGGGAGGCTGCGGGCAGGGGACACACTTGCCTGTGAGAAGTGCCAGCCCCGCAATGCCTGGGTGGGAAATAGCGGGCGACGTGCTGTAAGCAGCTTGCCAGCGCTGGCTGGGGGAGGGACGTGCCTTTGAGAGAGGCGGCTGCTGCTATTTCAAGAGATTATTTCAGAGGCCAGCCTGTCCTTGTCAATTTGAGTCAGGGCCTGGATTATGCCGGGGTGACGCTCTGTTAGCAGGACACTTGAAGCTTTAGTTACTTACCGCTTAGCTGTGGAGCATGATCTAGACCCGCCGTAGGGCCCACGATTTAACGGCATGCACCTGGGTAGGCAGAGGCAGCAAGAAAGGGATGGCTTTTTTGTGGTGGCTGAGTCATCCTTTAAGGCCGCACCAAGGGACACGGGTCTTCGTGACTGAGGTGCAGAGGAGACAGATTACTTCGTTCGCGTCTTCTCTTGGCACAAGTCCTTGTGGCAGGAAAAACAGAGATATCCAGATCATACAGATAGAAAAGATCATCGAGGGAAAAGACTGCAGCAACAGATATTTAAAAAAACACCCCATCTAAACCTGTTCTTCATTGCCCCGAGAGCGCGTTAGCAAAGGCAGTGCCACATTTCCAGATGCAGGATGGCTGCGCGGTGGGGATGGGAGCAGGGGTTCCTTCTGCGGTTCCTCTCCTCTGGAATACAGCCCCGATGGAGCGCAGGCTCCAGGCTGCTCGGGCACTGACCAGGTGTCCCTTTCCAGGTATCAGTGGTCCCTCAGTACCCTCTGCTTTCTGCTGATAGCGTACAAAATCTTAACCTCCGAGACAGAGAACAGGCACATCGCAAAATCTAACCCAAGCTGTGACCTAACCCTCCCCACAGAGTACTGTGAAGAATATTATGATCTGCTTTATATGGGAGAGGCAGAATAAATGATCAAATAGTCTTCTGGGATCTCTAGGAAACTCTGAGCTGTGCTGGTGGAGCCTTCCCTACGCTGGCGTGGCAGACAGGTCCATGCTCCCCTGACTTCATCGGTACAGATGAAGCTCCAGATTCACCATTTTTCCCCGTCTCTCCCACCCAAAACCCCTTTATCCTTCCCTTTCCAGGCGGTGGATGTGCAGGTTGTGAAGGTGGCACGTGCTTCACACGGCCACAAGCCAGCAGCACGCCGCTGCCAGGAGTGAAGAGGCAAAAAGGCAGCCGGTTGCTGCCAGCACTTGCAGCTCTAAGCCAGGGTGAAGTTCAGGCCAACTTCACCAGTGCCTTGAAGCAGAGAGAGAAGGCGGGTGGAGTTATTATGTTGCTCATGACACATCTGAAGTGCAATGGTGGGCAGGGAATGGAACTTAAAAGTAGTGAAAAATGCAATGCCTAGCTTTCGGGTGTCTGGGAGTCCAGACCGATGTGCTCGAGTCTTGACATGAATTCCGGTCCCCACAAAATGAGGCCCTGATCTGTGATTGGCACTTGTAGACCACGCAAAACCAGTAAAAGGATTTTTGGGACCGTTTGGCCAAGCAGTTGGAAACAAATACACCAAGCTATTTCAGGGCAGAAGTACGTGAAGCACTGAATTGCTGTCCTTCTAAAACACTCCCAAACAGGCAGCCCACTAGGGGAAAAGGATATTTGGAAATTTCTGCTGTAGATTTAGGCCCACGTCAAACATTCATTCAAAGCCCTTACCCAAGCGTGTGCTGGAAACACTGGCTGTGCAGTGCCTTAGAAGGCACTGCATCACTGTTAATTGTTCTAAGTTAACTACAACGATTTTCTGAGCTGCTTGTTTCCTTAATGAGAGATAAACGGTTAAACACACACTATTATTAGACGTGTCTTCCTTTCATTCTTGCCTGCCAAATTTCATTGTCCTTGCAAGCTTCTTACACTTTGTCCGCCACTTCACGTATCCACCTTCACTATCTACGCACACAGAGAGGACGGCCGTACAGCAGTCCTGCTTTCTCTTTCTAGAGCAATTGGATTTTTTCACCTTTCACAGGCACTGTTTTTTAGTATCCGTGTGTCTTCTCTGACTAAATCATCCCTCTCTGTCGTTACTTGAATCCTCCAAATAACTCGGCCACCTTCATGTAGAAAGTTAATCTGGTCTCCTACTTCTTCCTAATATCCTTAATATTCCTAATATCCCTAATTAGTAGGAGTTGGCAGAGCTGCTGCTGCTGCTGTCCAAGAACCAGAACTCTCCAGCAGAAGGCAATATCCCTGTAACTGACATTTTTTAGGGGCAGTCTCACATCAAAATACTTACGCTGGGGATGAACTTAAGTACATATTTTATGCCTTTTGAGTCAAGGTTTAATACACTTGAACTGGATTAACCCATAGTTTAACAGCTATTACAAAAACAGTATGATGGAGCTCACAGCTCCTTCCTGATTTCATTGCCTTTTCAGACATTTTTTTCCAAGCAGAGCGCTGTGGTTGTTAGAGGAGCTTTACAACTGACAAGGTGGATGCAAACAGCGAAAGTCCCCGCAGCAGGGTGTCGCACAGCCTCCTTCCCACTGCCACCGAGAGCATCTGGTCAGGTGTGGGGAGGGAATCCAACCCCGCTTACCTGCGGTGCCGTCTGCTTCATTTACATCAAAAAGCACACTGGTCGTGGTAGACCAGTTACGCATTTGAATTAGTTGGCTATAAAGGCTACATCCTATTAGTGATTTCCCTGATACCGTCTTCTGTCAATTCCTTTTTCAGACTGCGTGCCTCTGAATCAACTGTCTGCAAGGGGTTGTGGTCTGCTGCACTTGAAATTCCCAGGATGCCCTCGTTTCTCTCTGGTTTTGCACTTAATCAGCAAAAAACTTCTCCAGTGTATTGCCTTTTCATAACTGATCCTGCAAACCGTTCACATACAATCTCACTCTTGGCTCTTAGCTTTGAAAAGCCAAATGCCTCTTAGCTGACGGACTGAAAAACGTTATTTTCATTATAGTTATTCATCTTGAATCGGATCAAGCCCATCGCTACCAGCAAACCAAAACATACGGAGAATGAACAAGTTACCCAAGTATCTAGGGATCGGTCCGCTAACTGCTTGAAGATCTAAAAATATGGACCATAAGACCAGCCAAAGAATTGACACGTGAATAACAAAGTAGCTGTCCTGGGATAGGATGGGGTTGACTTTTCTGTGCCTTTCGCATTGATTTGATCTGAGCTATAGCCTATTTGGAGACCCGTTATCTGACTTCCAAATAGGCCAAACTCTTCAAATAACCGTTTTCCTACTTCTCTTAAACCACAACCTGGAATAATTTAATATAGCCACTTCCAAACCTGTTCACAGTGCTTCAAAAAGCACCACAACTACCGCAGGAAGGAAAAACTACCTTTCATCTTCGACTGTTTCCTTTTATATGAGGTGGGGGGAGGGATAGGTAAGATGTAATTACATTGCTGGTATGGTCAAGGGAAACCCAACACAATTGCCATGAAACTGTCAAGGACGACGCTAAGTTACAGCTCTTCCCCAGATCACGTTTCTTTTCAAATCTAGAGTTTCTTACCTCCTCCCAGCTGCTCGTCGGTGGGTCCTAAGGGAAGCCAGCCAGCACCTCAGCGCTGTAGAGTCTTCTGAAGGTTTCATTTACATCTTCCATACTGCCACCACTCACACTTCTTGTGTTTGTGCAAGGAAATCGTCATTCATATCTGCACAGCTTTAGCCATACCTAACTGAGGCCTCAGTAAAACCAGCCTCTATCAGGGGCACCGTATACATCTGAAACGGCAATTCCTGAGAAGTGTTTTTATCCACATCATCACACGATATTCTTATCTTGTACTTAGATAATTTTGAGTCCAAAGGAAAAAAAACCAAACCACAACACTTTAATCAAGGGACAGAATTGAAATTCAGTGCTCATGGGCTAGTGTGTAAGAGCAAGGATTAGGACTGGAAAGAAGTGGAAAATCCAAGTCTCAGAATAACAGTTTTACACTCATCAGGTTGTATATGACTGCCTGCCTTCCTCCCTCAGTCCCTGGCACGAAAGCCGTTAAAAGATAGCATAATGTGGAAAGTAACTGCTGCTTCGTTCCCCAGAAAACCTTCTAAACAAGGTTATGCTGCTTTTCCCCAAAATTGAAAAATAAAATAGGACCATTTTGCCGTGAAAACGGGTAACAGTCGTTCTCTTGTAACCAACCAGTTTGGACAGCACTGGGAAAAATAGCTATTACCATTGTAAATAAAGACTTCATTGAATTACAGGGCTTGAAAAACGGTTTTGAAGGGTTAGCCAAGTTTTTCCCCACACTAAATGAAATTAATAACATTTCCAACCTCAGTGAGAACAGCATGGGTGGGAAGCGATAGTCTATCCAAAGCGGAGAATTCTTTGCAGAATTTGATCAGTTGCAGAAGGAAAGAGGGTGGAGACAGTCTGCAGTTAAGCCAAGAAAAACAACAGAAGTTTTTCAGAGTAGCAACACAGAAAACCAAAATGATACTTTAGGATTATGCAACGTATCGATGCAAATGTGGTGGTGAACCACTATAATAGTCAGTATGGATAAATAAATATAGACAATTCAAAAAGAATCGCCATTTAAAAAAAAAAAAAAGAAAAAGAAGGAATAGACACAAAAAAGCTTCACATTTTCCTTCTAATTTAGCATACTAATTTAACTTCCATCTCAGTTTCTGCATAAATCAATATTTATAGAGCAGACCAGAGTTTCATCCCCCAGCGTTTCTGTTTGTCAGATAGCAGGTGACCCATGGTAGTGAAACTCGTGTTCCCGTTTGTTATCTTCAGGGAGCCGAGAAAAGACCGTCAAGATAGACTGAAATCAGTGGAAACAGACCGAGCTTCCTCAAGCTATATTTTGTAGTGGCTGAGAGAAAGGACAGGCATCAATTCAGAGAACATATTTGCTGGCCCAAGAGGCTAGAGGGAAGCCTGGGTGTGCTCTGTGTAAGGTTACGATGGGGGACAGACT